TCAATAATAGGCCACAATGTATAAAAATACTCTTCTCACAAGGAATAATTTTATTTATTCTAAGAATAATTGCTCTAAAAAAGAAAGGATTGGCGCTTTTTAATGTATCTTCAATGTGACACATCAACACGTTAAAATAATATGACATCATCCACATATATCTAACGACAACTGTGCATGTTTCGTTTCGCATTAACAGGCATGGAACTTATATCAGATCACAAAGGCATTTCAACTAAACGTACAGAACACATCTATAATAATATCGTTTTTTAGAGTAATCGTTGCAGCAAGATGGTGTAAAAATTGTAAATCACACAACGCGTTGCTAATTATTCATGTTGTTTTTTTCCATTTTGGGGCAACTATTTTTATTAACCGAATTAAAGGTAAAAACTTATAACGAAACAAAAAGTAATAGTTGCTAGCAGCAATAATGAAATACCATTATAGAAAAGTTTATCTTCATCTCCTATACTAATTCATGCTAAATTGACATGCGGACTCGATGCGTTCTTATCTACATGATGTATCCTAACCAATCACTCACTTCCCCTCCGCCAACAAGACTAAAACGCGCCCCGAAGGACACCAAGGCATGAGGGTCTCTAACTACAAATTATCAGCAATATATATGTATATTAATTGTGACAACTAACTTATTGCACATCTCAGAGCTCAACAAAAAAACATGCTGAAGTTTAACATTTGTAGATATTTAACATGGTATTTACCTTGAAATAACCACAATTTCTACTACATCTAGTTTCACTTGGTTATCATCCATACAGAAGCGAAACATCTCTTTACTCTTGAGTTATGAATAAAACTATATATCGCTCACTTGGTAATCTACTAATAACAGACTACACAGAGTTAGAACAACAGATTCCAGACCATGAAACAGGAACTCCTCCCAAATAAAACAAGAATAAGATGAGTAAGTAGTACCGGGGTAATTTTCCCAAAAGCTACTGCTTTCATCCATCTTCACAAGAAGAAAACTACTTGACTTATTTAAGATTTTCTCTAAAACTTCCTTACCTTATCTAAGTTTTCAGTTCTTTAGATCAGGTTAAAACGTTATCTATTTCAGGGAACAGAAATTTTATGGAATTTAAAGGTATATTAGTATTTTGTAGTTCCTGGAAAATGTTATCTTACTTGTTTGAAATACTATAAAGAATATCACCTATAGGCTAAACTTGTATAAAACATAACTACAAAAAATAACCAACATATATGTTATTAAACATTATAGACTAGCATAAGCCTTTTTTTAGCCTTGTAACGAGAAACAACATAAAAATGTATTATATATCACTTGTTCTTCTTACAATAAACTCGGTGAATGTCCGAAGCTATTTACCATAATAAAGTGTAAATAACTAATTTATTACGACCGCAGCCCATTATTTTTATTCTAGAATATCGAACTTTACAGCCGGGACTTTGAAAAACTTCCAATAAAATATTTTCTCTCATGCATTTTTTATAAATTTCTTTTGTCAGAGGTATGTTACAATAAAATGCTTAGAATAATGCGCCATTGTCTTAGTACGCTTTTTTGTTTGTTTCAGAAGTACGTACTGACAGTTGAAGGCCTCACTATATTCTTGTCTCTTCATAATTATCTACTTCTGATTTTAGAGTGTTTGACGTTATTTTATGCAGTAAATAAATGAATTAATATTAAATACTGATTAGAGCAAACTACTTACTTGATAGCATATTACACTAAAGTGTGGGGGTTCGATCCTTGCGGCGAGTACAACACAGATTGCGTATTACGCAGCTTTGGGTTTAACAACAAACAATCACGTTCTTCGAGTATTTTCATTAATATTAGGTGCATAATATCCATCTAAACTTATTTGCTTTGATCAAACTATCAAATATTTGTTTTAATGGTATAAAGTCCACAACATTGCGTTGCCCTTTAGTTGTTGACATTAGCTTTTGTTAAGTGACTTCAGTGCATTATGGATTTCTTATTGGGTTTTGTGGAGTCAACTTTTCAAACAACACAACCTCTACGAAATCTGTTTTGTCTTAAGATAAGTTTCTGAATATCGTGATCAATATTTATTTCAATTAGATTTATCAAACCTGTATTTTCTATTTTTCTAATACTTAAGCTTAAACTGTTCCAACACCTGTATTTGTCTTTTCTTCCCATTATTTCCTATTAATTCAATCAAAGACTTTTATAAATACCAACTACATCCAGTTATGTATTCGTAACCTTTTCCTCTTAATTATAGGGTTAAGGACAAATAAATTATTAGTTATTGAAAACACTGGGCGAAAACTTGCTTTATATGTATTCAATATACTATGTTTGTCCATTACAGCACTTGAAAAACACGAAGAATGTGTACAAATACTTTCACAACATATCTTTTATTTAAAGAACATGATAAATCTTCTAATTTATATGCAGTTTTCCCTATTTGCTCTCCAGGCTTCAAGTGGTGAGTGACTAACAAAACAATGTTTTCTCTGAAACTTGCGATTGAAGAGAAATGTTTAGTTCAAAAGTTATCAAGTTTGATTAACTAATGCTTTGCACTTTGATCAGTGTGTGAACAACACATGAGTTTAGCCGAGGAAAAACATATATTTCTGAAATGACAAAACTTGAAACTTATAAGAGTGCCACTTTTAACTGGTACGTTTTATGAGTTTCAACTTTTGTAATTTAAAAAAATAAATGTTGTTCCTCGACTAAATTCACGTATTGTTTAGACATTATTTTGTTTAAACCATGGTTGAGACTAGTTATTGGAGAAATTAATTAGTTCACAAGTTCCAGACGTCAAAACGTAAGGTTTCATTGAAGATATCGTAGTGTTTTATATTATTAATTGAGAACCTGCATTGTGTACCGCCTTTAACTGATGTGTAACAGTTGTACACGAATGAGGAGTTAACTTCACCATTTATTTTCTTATGTGTAAATAAAATGTTAACGTATAGCCTGGCAATAGCCTAAATTATGAAGAGTCTGTGAGAAATTACAAAAGTAGGAATATTTCAATCACCAATCAACAATCAAACATTTCT